TCTGTCTAGATATAACTAAAGCACATGTAAATTCCTGAAGTTGAACTTCCTTGATAATTTTGAAACTGAAGACATTCCCCTAAGCGAGAATTTCCTCAGTAGTCATTCAATTTATTTTGATGGACATAGTACAGTTTTAAGATACCTGTTCTAATAGTAAATTGAGTAGTATTTCTAAAAAGATAGAGTAATGTGGTATATTAAAGTGACAATTGGTAAAAACAAGTAAACTTTTGCCTAGGTGGACATTCCAGATATGCTGCCCAAGGCATTCAGTCAGCTCTGAAAAAAAGTGAGTCACATTTCTTGGGAGTCAATGCACTTCTTCATTTAGCAGTATGCTTTTGGGAAAAATTTCAGGAGCTACAGCATCTATTAAAATAATTTTACGTAAGAAAATCCACAGTAGAAAACATCATACTTACCACGTCCACTGATTGTATCAGGTTTGGACTTCATTGTTTTGCAAAATTGTCTTCTGCAGTGTTCTATCCACTCAGTTTGTTTATCAGATATTTTGAAGCATGATAACAGCTTGTCAATATCACTGTCTAATAAATAAGTAACATGTTAGAATATGACACACGAGATGCAATCATATAGGCATTGATGGTAGAGAGATTAACATCAGTAGCTAATAATGAGAGCAATTACAGCTTCCTGTGATAAAATGAAAGCATCTCCACTCTTATTCACTGGAACCATTATTAAGAAATCAAGGATCACTTGCACCACCAGTACTAGTGTTCTAGCTGCCTTCAATAGCTATGACAAAACACTCTAACCAATACCGACTTGGGGAGGAAAGGGTTTATTTGGTTCACATTTCCCTCGGTCACAGTTCATCACTGGGGGAGCCCAAGGTTGGAACTCAAGGCAGGAACCTGGAGGCAGGAACTGAAGTACAGGCCATGGAGGAACTCTGCTTACTGACTTGATCCCCTGGCCCATTCTCAACATGCTTTCTTCCACAATATAGAACAACCTGCCAGGGTGGCACTGCCTACAGTGGGCTGGGCCCTCCCCCATCACTCAACAATCAAGAAAATACCCCATAGACATGGGCAATCTGATGCTGGAAATTCCCCAAGCGAGGCTCCCTCTACCCAGGTGTGTCATGTTAACTATAAAATCTATCCAGCACAACTTGTTTATCATAATTGAAAATATGGTATTAGGGCTGGAGAGATGACTCAGTGGTTATCTTAACTGCTCTTATCCACTGCTCTTGCAGAGGACCCAGGTTCAATTCCCAGTACCCACATGGCAACTAACAACTGTCTGTAACTCCAATTCCAGAGGATGCAATGCCCTCTTCTGAACTCCATGGACATTGCACGACACAGGTGCACTTACACACATGCAGGCAACACACTCATACACATAAAATAAAAACATAATAAAATATTTTTTAAAAAAGGAAATATGGTATTAAGTCTCTGATGGAAAAACAACATATTTAACATAGATTATCTGGATAGGGGACGCTTCATGCACTGGGCAGGGCAGAGTGAGGTGAGAGCAGGAGACTTCCAACAAGGCTACTTATGACAACACATGATTTAAACATTGTTACTTAGTTTTTGAACTTCCTATTTAATATTTTGAGATTGAAGTTAGCACTGGGTAACTGAAACTAGGGAAGGTGCAACTGCAGGCAAGGGCACACTTCTGCATTCCTATATACATGCACACATGCACATGCATGTACACACACAAAAAAAATTTTTAACAGTCTGAGCAAGGATTACTATGTCCATAATATAAATTCCAGTTTGAATTAGTCCCACAAAAGCCACTGCCTATCAGTTCATCAGCCTCCTGGTTATCACTCTAAGACTGTGTTGTATGTATAATTAACCACTGATAAGAATACTTTGGTACTTGATGTTGAGATTTTAAAAACATGCTTTTTTCCCCCCAAAGGGTTTCACATTGTAGCAAAAGCTAGTGCTGGACTCATGATGATCCTGCCCCAAACTCTGAGATACTGGGATTATTGGTATGTGCCACCATGCCCAACTCCTAAAAAGCTTCCTCATGCATACACTCTCTTGTACAACATGAATATACATCTACATACAGCAAGCATGTGCCTATTCACAAAATACACACAAAAGTTTGTTTTGTTGAATAATTTTTTATTTTGGTGTTTTCGATTTTTGAGACAGGGTTTTCCTGCAGCCACAGTTGGCCTGGCACTCAGTGAATGTATAATTCTGATATTTATATTAATCCAGTATATCCTCTTTAAATAACAAGACCATAATACAATGACTTTTCATAGATAGCATTCATAATCAAAGTAATAACTAGACAAAAATGACTACAGATTAAGTCAAAAAACAATCCTTTTCATAAAAGCACTTAAAATCTTTAAACTCAAGAAAAATCAGATCACTTAACTGAAATTTTAGGTTATTGCTAACAAAAGAGTTTTCATGTCAAACGTATCTTGATGTAGATCAGATAAATTCAAAAGCATTCATTGTTTTCACTTAGAAAATCTACACTGCCTTTTCCCTGCACTGGTAACATTATAAACACAATGCAGGTGTGGTGCTTTCATCTTCGTTTCCTTCTCCATTTATTTTCTTCTATCACTCTGTAACCCTATTATCTCCTTCAAATACAGGCTCTTACTGCCCCTCTCAGACAGGGACTGTGCATATAGTACTTTCACGTGTGTGTGTGTGCGTGTGTGTGTGTGTGTGTGTGTGTGTGTGTGTGTGTGCGCGCGCGCGCGCACGAGTGTGTTCCTCGTCTTCCTCGCCTCTTTCTCCTTTCATATAGCTATTCTCATCTGCTTTCTCACCATCTCATTCTAGGAGACTAAGAGACTTACAGAGACATTGTTCTGTTTCCCACATACACTTCTAATTACAATTTCCTGAGCCATCACGAAGACTATGCATTTCAGTTCACATTCCTCATGGTTATTTAATGATTTGATATGTAAGCTGAAAACTAGTGATATCGTTGGTTTTGAAGGGAACAATAAACAATTCCTCTTTTTCTTCTTCCAAATTTGAGACCAATCGATAGGTAGATGGGGTAGATATCAATGCTCACACACAAACAACAAAATTAAGTAGGACTGCTTGGTTTTGGTAACACACCGTCTCCCAAATTTACTCTGATTACCGTAAATCTGGCCACAAAGACAGCCAAAGGCACTACTGACTGCTCCTAAAAAGGAGATAAAATGACCTAAATACAAGCTACCTTGAAAACATGCTATTTAAAAATAGTAATCCAAGACTTTCTATTGCTTATCCCAAGTTCACCTATAAACAATTCTTCCTATCGCTGTGCAGAATGAGTGAAGTCTAGATGGAGGTCAGTAGTACTTGCCTAAGCAAAGCTCTTCTCATGTATAACATAAGGCAAAGGAAACAGGTCCCTCCCTACTATGTTTCCCAAATATCCTAGTTTTAAGTAATGCACATGCTTTCTAAAACTTCTAAATGAACCCATTCCACTGTTAAAAACAAGAAAAGGAAAAAGCATGTCAACAAAGATAATTTTGATTCTGGTCAAGCTGGAACTAGAGGCAGCCTTGCTCTTTGGTGTGATCTACTAGAACACTGGATAAAATCAACCACTAGCTACTATCTTCAGGCATAAAGCCAGAGACAGTGGGGGACAGGAATGTCTGAAAAAAGGGAAATCAATGAGGGGAGCTTCACAACTGCATCTTGAAACTTCATTTTCAAGTTTATCACATAGAAAAGGGCATACCAACAATGTCTGGTTGAACTGAGAGGACAGACATGAAATTGCAGAGACCAAAGAGTCTAAAATTTGGCCATTAGGATACTGGAGTGGAGAAATAGAGAAAGATTTCAGAAATCTGTGTATTTATCACTCAATCACAGCTGTGTGAGCATAGGGGAAATGGCACAAGGCAGGGCAGAGCAGGGGACACTGGAAACAGAACACTTCCCAGAGGTCACACAGAGGTGAGAGGCTCAGGTTCCTGAGGGAAGAGTCCATAGACATATCAGAAAGAAACAATACTAGAAAAACCACACCTTAGTAATGGGGTTAAAATAGACATAAAGAAACCTTGAAAGACAAACTGATACATAAATGACAGCCTGCCAAATTGTGTTCATTGATCTTTAAAGAATTAAAACTAAAACATGCAATCAATATATAATTTAAAATGTTCACTATCTAAACACATAATGAAAAAAGGAGAACTGTGGCCCATAACTAGTAAATAAATTAGTGTAGAGATTCATAAAAGGCTGAGATAAAACTTGAAAGGCAACTACTTTTAGAGAAACATAAAAATTAATAGTTTAACAAATTTTGGTTTATTATTAAATACATGCCTCTCACTAAAAAGAATTAAGCAAATAGCATATGGATAACAGCCTTGATCTTGAATTGTTATAATTAGCAAAAGAAAACAAGTACAGAGAATGTACACTATACATTCCTATTTGTGTAGCCAGGCATGGTGGCACACGTCTTTAATCCCAGCACTCAGGAGCCAGAGGCAGGCAGATCTCTATGAGTTCAAGGCCAGCCTTCTGGTCTACATAATGAGTTGCAGGCCAGCTGGGGCAACAGTGAGACCCTGTCTCAAAAAGACCAACTCTTGATATGCTGACTAGATTCAGTGGATTGAGGAAGAGCTGATCTTCCTAAAACAAGGAACTCTAGATAGGCTGACTAGATTCAGCAGATTGAAGAAGAGCTGATCTTCCTAAAACAAGGAACGCTAGACAGGCTGACTAGATTCAGTGGATGGACAAGCACTGGAGAAAAGCTGGGGGTACCAACAACACAGTGGACAGTAACAGGGATGACAGAGTACATGGGCTCCAGTGGGGGGGGTATGGAAGGGTGCCATTTGGGAAGTGGGTATATAGATGAATAAGATTGTTTGGGACGTTCTATATGATATACACTCCAAAAAATCAACAAATTAAAAAAATGAGTTATATTGGAGGAAGAAGCATAAAAATTTGCTTCATGTTAATTAGTAGAGGTGAAAAACATTACCATTGAAATCTACCTGATGACTTTATATCCACACTCAGGTGCCAAGGATCCGAGTGCAACCAACCATGACTAGTAATAATCAGATACATAGAGATTAGAGATGCATGTGCAAACATCT